CCATTTATCCAGGGTGGTTGGTTGGCCCGGGTGGTGATGTTCTTTTTGATGCTGACGTCCTCAATGCATTTGTTAATGTAGGCTGACACAGTCATGACATACTCACCTATATTTAATATGTTGTCATATGTTGCTGCGGCGTGGAACATGCCCCAGTCAGAGCATTAAAAGCAGTCCTGGAGTTTCTCCATGGCCCCCTCAGACCAAACTCTGACCTGCTTCACTCACCTGCTTAATAAGCGATGATTATCAGGCCTCTGCAGCCCTTGGTGGCTGCTGGGAAGGAAGGGAATAATCTGTGGGAGCAGAAACATCCAAAACAGAAAAACTGAGTTTCATATTTTAAGGTTTTAAACTCTTTGAACCTGAACCAGTCTGTCCAACTGGTTTCCCTTCTGCTGCTGCAGCTTATCCTCATCTTCCAGTCTGTGAAACCTGCATCAGAAGCTGGAGCTCTCCCGGTGAAGGAGTGATGGTCTTCTTGCTTTCTAATGTCCCTCCTTTCTCACCGAAGCAGAGCCCGTATATTCCAGCTGGGATGGTACCCTAGCTCCTGTTGGTAAATGAAGTTTTCACCTGAGCTGCTGCTCTGGTTGTGGTGGTGTCTTTGAAGAAACGGGGTCGGCCAGAAGACGCTTGTCTGCGAGTGTTCGGCTCCACATGTCACATACAGCTATGGGGGGCAAACACCTGCAGAACATTTCAGAACAAACCGAAACCAATGCTTCAGTTTAAGCATTAACCAGAACTCAGGTGTGACCCAAACAGCACCTCATGTCATCCAGCTCTGCGTACCTCTTCAGCACCTCTCCTCCTCTTCATCAGGCCCAACCTCCTCCTCTTCATCACTCTTCTTTACCTCCTTGGTATCATCAAATGATCCATCACATCTTGTGTTTTTCTTCGGCTCAGTCTAAACCTTCAGACATTTATTGGTGAAAAGGGTCTGTTTCTGAATGGAATCGCCGAGGATGACCTGAAATAACTGTTCTGGTTCTGGAGCTGCCTGCTCTTTGGTTTTATTTCCTTCTGCAGTTTGTTGTGGATCTGATCAGAACTCGGAAGAACCAAACAGCAGACTCAGCAAATTAAACACAGTAAGCAGAGGAAAAGCTTCCGGAAGTGGATTCTGAAAGCAGCGGTGCTATATTTAGCGGTACCGTGCTGCACTGGTACCACCACAGCACTGAGGTCAGAACAAGCAGCTCCTGAAGTTGCTGCTGTTACTCCACTTCCTGCAACACCTGCAGCTCTGCTGCTGCTCTCATTCAGAAGCCTCCTCAGAAACTCTGAGCCCAAGCATTTCAACCCGTTTAAAGAAAAGAGTCCGGCAGTCCACCCTTCTCTGAACAGCCCTAGCTTCTGATAGGAACCAATGTTTGACTTTATGACTAAGTTAAAGATTCCCTCAGTGGGCTGTGATCAGAATGAAGATGAGAGCAGATACTGCAGCTTGTTTTGGACCTCCTGTCAGATGAGGACATGAGATATAACCCTGGTTCGCATCAAGAGTTTCTGGGCCAAACAGTCAGATCTAACCAGTCAGAGCAGGACAACGCCTTGGTCCGATGGTGATCAGGCTCCTGGATCCATGTGGGTCAGGAGGAGTATGCAGCCTCAGCTGGTCACCATCTCACGAAGCTCAACAATCAGGTTCTATCCATGGTGGGCTGATGTGTTTGATTCATTATTTATGGTGTTAAACAATGAACAATAAACAGTAATTAAACTGACGTCATGACTTATTTTAAGACATTACTTTGTGTGTGAGACAGTGCGTGACTTCAAAGTGTCTGTGCGGAGGACGGACGCATCAGATCGATGCAGACTGAAGGGGGACGGAGTCTTGAGAGCCGACATGGATGCTCTGCACCTGCTGGGCAAGACGGGGGACATCCTGTACACCTGGCCGTACAGGTACCTGCGGCGCTTCGGACGGGACAAGGTAAGGCTGAGAACCGCCAGTGCCATTTCACTTTTCTTTCACCAGTTCACCGCAGTTCTTCCAGCAGTCCACACTTTCTCTGCTCTCTTTTTCTCATGGTCTTCTCCTTCTTTCCCATCGCCCGGCTTGGTACGGGTTTGCCTGCTGTGTCTAAAAGTAGCAGCAGCAGCAACCCAGACTGACAGCTCATTGGCTCATTTGGCCTTTTCCTTTAGATATACAAATATCTGCACATTAGACAGCTAAGGGAAGACTACGCACTTGACAGTTGACTTGGATTATTGCACCTTCACTGCATAGATGTACTGACTTTATAAAATAAGTAAAAAATTACACAGGCTACATAGTAGTTGGCATGGGTTATGGCACAGTGAGAGAGAAGAAGTGACAATAGGTAATGTTTTGCACAAGATGTCAAAGGGGGGGGGGGGGGGCTGACCCTTGCCCCTCTTCCTAAGTCCTTAGTCTCTTCAGGAAGTCCATCCTGCTCTGTGTCTTCCTGTGCAGGTGGCTGGTGTGTGTTGACCAGTCCAGTTAATTATCCAGCCACACTCCAAGGTATTTCTATGAATCCACAGCCTCCACCTCAGCCCCCTCCAGTAGTACTGGCTTAGTCTTTGGTCTGTTCCTCCCAAAGTTTGTGAGCAGCTCCTTCTTCTTGGAGATGTTGATCTGCAGGTGGGTGGTGCACCACCAGGTGGCAACGTCATCCACCAGACTCTTGTCCTCCTCCTCTCTGTTGTCCCTGATACACCCCACATGGCTGTGTCATCTGCGTACTTCCGGATGTGACACAGCTCAGAGCTATAATAGAAGTTTGAGGTGTATAAGGTGAAGAGGACAGGGGCCAGCACTGGGCCCTGGGGGGCTCCAGTGCTGCTGAACACTGTGTCAGGAATGGTGTCTTTCTGCCTGACATACGCTGGCTTGTGAGGTAGCTGGAGATCCAAGCCAGCAGTCAGGGTTCAACTCCTATTCAGTTTGCAGGAAGGGCTGAATGGTGCTGGATGAGCTGGAGAAGTCAGGAAGAGAATCCTTTCTGTGGCAATTCCCTTCTCCAGGTGGAAGTGGACTCTGTGTAGTTGGTAGAAGATGGTGTCCTCCAACCCTACACCTGGCTGATGGTGCAGACTGCAGGCGGCCCAGGCCGTGTTGTGCTTGAGGTCTGAGAAGATTGAGGAAATTCTGCTCCATTGTCTTTATCAGATGTGAAGTGAGTGCCAAAGGCTGGAAATCATTCAGCTCACTGGGCGGGGTCCTTTTAGGAACCACTGTGATGCAGGATGTCTCCATAGGATAGGCACTCTCCCTAGCTGCAGGCAGAGGTTGAAGTCCCGTTGTAGTGGTTCCCCCAGTTCAGTGGCGCAGGTTTTCAGTAGCCATGGACACACCTTGTCTGGGCCTGCTGCCTTCCTGGGTGGAAGTCTCTCCAGGCAGGGAAAGTGTTGATGTGAGGGTTCCTTCAAGGAGCAGAGTAGCATGGTGGTGCTGTGATAGCTAAGGTGGGGGGCAGATGGGGACTGGGGGTGGAGGCACTGTTTCTTGGGGGCAGTCAGTGCTGGGGGGAAGGGGAGATGGCTGTACCAGTGGTGGTGGTAGGCCTGCCCAGAATATGGTCCAGATGGCTCCAGTCATTCGGGAGTTTTTGCAGTATTTCCTGTATTCCACTTGGTATTTTAATGAAGCGATGATGTGATGGAGCTGTTCAGACATTGTTCTGTGGAAACACCAGAGCCGGGTTTACCCGCTAAATTACTAGACACAATTGAACACAACGTACAGACATCAACAGACAGCACCAGCCACTTCCGATCTAAAAAGAAGAATCAATTTTGTTTACACTCGAAAAACATGGAGCAGGTCTGGTGAGAGGGACTCAGACAGATAATAGAGAGAAACAATAAAGCTCACTGATTAAACCCTGGCCCTACATGATGCTGTCCATTGTTTACATCCCTGATTTCTGTCGCTCTGGTGACATTATCAAACACACAGTTGCAGCGAATGGTTAGACCAGCTTTTTTTGCCAGAGTCCACCCACGTTTGAAGAGCCCGGTTTAACGCGCTATTTTCAGTGGAAAAGAGGCTCTAGTGTTGCTTCACAGCAGAAGCAGAGACTCTGGTTACTGATAAAGGTCTTCTTCTCTTCAGTCCACCTTCTCCTTCGAGGCGGGTCGCAGGTGTGACTCTGGCGAGGGAAGCTTCGAATTCGACACCAAACAGGGAAACTTCCTGTTCCAGGCTGTCGAAGCGGCCATTAACCTGCAGAAGATCTCCCTCCCACACAGACAGACCTCTGGAGGAGGCCTGGTGACGCCAGAGGTCCCCCCCAACCTCCAGAATCAGAACCTACCGCCCCCACCAGTTAACCCAACAATGGGCCATAGCAGGACGCTTCTGCCCCAGCCCCGTGTTCAGGTTCAACAACCTCCAGGTGCTCAGGTAAGACCACAGTTCAGGTTGTTTTTTTTTAATAAAAGCACTGTTTCCCTAAAACATTTCTACAAATGCTTAGTGGAAATTTGATTGGATAATTGTTCTTATTCTTTATGAGTTGTCAAAGGTTACAATCCATGACTTAACATGATAAGTTTAATTTCATTCCAGGAACCATATTTTGACAGAAGCCCACCTCGTTAAGAAGCCCACCTCAACGAGGTGGGCTTCTTAACGAGGTGGGCTTACAGGCCCAGGGCTTGTTAGTCTGGCAGGTTTTACATCTCCTGAAGTGTCTTTGTCTGCAGGCGGCTGATGGTGTTTACAGTATGGTGACCGAACCTCAAAACCTGCAGATGGTTCATGACAAAGAAGCCGAGAGCTCCCATTCCTCACAGCAGCAGCGCCCTCAGCAGGTACGAATCCACCCAGTTTGATCTAATAGATCAGTGATATTTACAGCAGAAAGAAAACATCAAAGATATGCCTTTTACAGCGCCCGGACATTTAGGCGCCGAGTGGAGACAAAGACCTTTTGGAGTGATTGATATTCTCCATGAACATGTCACTCCTAAATCCCTTTGTAATATTTAAGCACAGGATACTGACTGATGGATTCTTCCTGTCCTTTACAGTCTCGTCTGGAGCCTCCGGTGGATAAAATCCTGACTGGAGTGAAGAGTTTGACTCTGGATACCCGCGGAGTCCCCATACCCAGGAAGAACCAGGTCAAGATGATCTCCAGCTGCCCCCTGCCCAACGCCAGCCCAGAGTCTGGCAGCAGCCTGGCAGCGGGCCCCGGCTCTAACCCAAACCAGAACCCCCGCCTCAGCCCGAAACTGAGCTCCAACCCCAACCTGGAACAGACATACTCCCAGATCACCATGACGGACGTCGGTGGGCGGGGCACCAAGAAGGAGAAAAGTACCAGCGCTGGCTCACCGCCGATGCTAAACAGGGACCCAGAATACTCCCTCCCCTTCGACACCATCGCCTCAAACGTCATGTCCGACATCTTGCAATCCAATCAAGACAATCCAGGTGCGGACCCGTTATACGACAGCATCGACGAGATGAAGATAAGGAACATCTTTAGGAGCGAAGCAAGGACTCAGGAATCCACATACGGGAAGGTGGATCACATCTACGATGAGCCTGAAGGCTGCGCTGCCGCCGGAGGACAAAAGGTCACGCCCCACTCCTCAGTCTACGACGACCCCGAGGAGATGAGAGGAGATGCCTGGAGGATCATGGGAACATCAGCTGACCCTAAAGGCCATGAGTATCCCTATAACCCCCGTGTGGATGACTATGCCGTGCCCAAACGACCCAAGAGGGTGTTGGCTTCCCAGCAAAGTCTTGCTAAAGAAGAAGAACAGGCACAGAACCAGGAGGAGGAGGATGAGGATGAGGAGGACGAGGAGGAGAGGGAGAAGGAGGAGCAACAGTTTTCACCATACAACAACGTGATAGTTAAAATAGCCTGACAGAGGAAGTAGACCTCCTTTCATCCATCCATCATTCATCCATCATCCATCCATCCATCCATCCTCCTATCCATCTTCCATCCATCCATATGATGAACTTGTAGATGCAGGAGAAGGACCTGTAACTGAATGTCATGGACTCCATTGATGGACCTGCAACAGGCTGTGAAACTGTCTGCAATGATTCAGGGTTGGAGGAAGCAGAGAAGAGGACGATGTCGTGATGTGTGATTGCTCTAACAGCCATCCAGCTATGCTAATTTAGGCGCCTGCTGTGGTTCTGATCAGTTTATGTCATGTCGACTACATGTTGTAGTTTTGCATCATTAAACAGAAGTGAAGTAGTTTCCTGTCAGGTATTTTTTGCTGTTTTTATCTTCTCAGAGAAATGTTAGCAGGCTAACATTAGCACTGTTCGCTACAAATCCATCACACCAAACATCACACCCTCACCAGAACCCTGGAATATCTTCATCTTTGTTTTCCACACAGATCAAAACCCAAACAGTGAAAGAGGTCCAACCGGGCCAGTTAAGGTACAAGAGAATGAGACTTTCCAGCACCTTCAGTACTTTCTCCATTATAGCTGTGGAGTTAGGAAGCTGAGACAGAGGCATTTCATGCAAGTAAAAGGTTGAAATTTATTTTACGTCCTCATATAGGCAGATAGAGCTCTGACTGAGGCAACCTCAGTACATACATTTATACCTTACAAAATCCCAACACACACACTCTCCCCCCAGGCGAACCAACCCACCCCCTGCATAAAGAGGTTTATCACAGTTTAACATTTGGAGGAAAAACAGCTTGAGTTCATCAAGGACATTCCCTGTTAGGTTAATATATCTTTCACTGGCCAGATGGATCAGACCAACAGTCCTCCCCTTCATGCCATGAAGGAGGCTGTGTAACTCTTTCTTGTCTCTAACAACCTTCGTTTGGAGCCTGTGAAGCTAAGAACAGACATACCTCAACATTTTTTACTCCACACAACCAACAAGTGGTTCTCAGGGAGGTTCAAATCAGGGGACATTTATCTGTCTTGCCTTTAGCCTTCAGACATGGAGCTTCATCCTTGACCTGCTGGTACAGTAGTAGCCATTCAAAATTTCCCCACTTTCCTTGGCTGGTCCTTGGCTGCCCCCTTGGTTGGTTCTTGGCTGGTCCTTGGCTGCCCCCTTGGTTGGTTCTTGGCTGGTCCTTGGCTGCCCCCTTGGTTGGTTCTTGGCTGGTCCTTGGCTGCCCCCTTGGTTGGTTCTTGGCTGGTCCTTGGCTGCCCCCTTGGTTGGTTCTTGGCTGGTCCTTGGCTGCCCCCTTGGTTGGTTCTTGGTTGGTCCTTGGCTGGTCCCCTACAATTACTTTTTATCAATCTTTGTACTAAAATATTCTTTCTGACATGATTTTTGGACATTAAGATCTAAAGAGAAGCGTCATCTCCTGGTCAGACTCTGTAATTCAGTGATTGGGAAGGGCCATTTAGAATGGCTGATACTGTAGCAATGTTCCTTGACAGTCCTTGAAGGAATGGACTGGAACAGGATGTTTTCCTTAACTGGACTCAAGAAAGCGTTTCTTCTTCAGATGTCCCAAACAGTCAGAAGAAAGATTCATCAGAGAAGAGCTTTGGTCCAGTCCTCTGCTGTCCAACCTTTAGTCTTGATTGGACAGAAGTCTGGTCTAGAAGTCTTCTCCTCACCTGCTGCTAACGCTAAAGCCAGGCGTACTCTGTGCGATATTTTCAATCATTGCACACAGCTACAACTCAAACTGTTCGATGAAACCACAGGGTTTAAAAGTTCATAACTCACCATGTATGTTCTCACACTGTAAGGCCCGACGCTCAGAGGCGATCTACCTGCTCACATTGCATATCTAAAAACCATGCATCGAACTCAGCGCCAAGAGATGGAGCTGGTCAGAAGAAAAACTCCCTTGTTTGCACATGCTCGGTCTGCAAGGTTCTTATAAATGGGCTTGTAGCTCTGCTTGAACAGCAGGGTTTACCCATCAACACCTCAGGAGGACTGACTGAATTTGAAACCTTACGATTCCTGATCAGTAGGTGGTCTTTAGAGCCCCCTTAATAATACACAACACAGGACGCACCATGAAGCTGAAACTCGACCAAATCGAACGACTGGAAAATCGGTCTGAAAAGGGCAAAAAAATCGTACAGTGCATGCCCGGCTTTAGGAGGCTCTGGACTGGTGGAAGCTTGATCTCAAAGAGACATCTGGGAGTTTGTTGGATCCTGTTTCAGTCACCTTCCCGATAGAATGTGTGGTGCTGCACCTGCAGAACAACCAGGTACGGTTCTGATTCTTCTGCAAGGTTCTGAAGGTTTTGTTTGTTGGAGAATCCAACAAGGGCATGTATGGCTTCCTGGGCTGCAGGCAGCAGAGCAGAGATCAATAAAACTTTTGATTTAGCAGTGGAAAGTGTTAATGCTCTTACTGAGCTGTGAACTTTTTTACGAGCCGCTAACTCGAAGCCTCTGTCTGCTGTGAAGTTGTTAGCTTCTCTGGGCTCCTTTCAGAAGCACTTCCTCTTTCAGTCCTGTGCTTTGTGCATCCTTCACACCCCGGGCCGTTAGATGCATTAAGTGGTGCATCAGTCATCCTGAGCCCTTCGCTCAATGAGGTCGGCCGCCTTGGCCTTCTAAAATGGAAGCTCTTTCCCTGCAGGGGGATCCACTTGCCATGTCCGGTTAAATCATCTCTCTGATTCTTCCTCATCACTGAGCTGCTTATGAAGTCTGCTCTCTGAGCAGACTTCTGCTTCCAGTCTGGGTTCTAGGCCTAGCCTGAAAATCTGCATGAATGATTGAAAGATGATGGCTGGATTTCGAGGGAACTGGTGAAAATGGGGAGAAAAGGACAGGAGGGATTCTTATCAGAGACGGTAGCAACATCTGGAGATGCTGGTGAAGATTCTCAGATGTCCAGGTCATAGTCATTTCAAAAAAGTTAAATTTAAAAAAAAAAAATCCACTTGACTTTGATTTTAAGTTTGAAGATATTTTCTCTTTTTGAATTGAGAAAACTAAAGTCCAATGTTTTTTGTTTTTTTTTAACCTTTTTGGAAAATATAGAGATGTTTCAGCACCATGGAGTTTGGAATATCTGGTTTTAGATTTCTATCCAATCTTGATCCTCTGCAGGGCATCAGGATCCTGGGATGTGAACAGGTCTGGATGTTTGGGTTCTACTCAAACCGTAGATCAGCTCTGAGCTTGTTAATGAATGAACCCCTCAGAGACTCGACATAATGTCGGTATAACTTGCAGGTACAGGTGTAAAAAAGCCTGTTATAAACAACCAATAGTGGTCAAATTTGAGATATTCTTGTTGCTTGCCTGCAGCAATCAGCTTCATCCAGCAGAGGGCAGCAAAGATTAAACTAGCATATCCAAATACCCCATCCAAGGTTTCATCTTCCACTGTTTAATACCACAGTGAAGTAAACATGAAACTTTTGTTTTCCTTTTTTTTCTCATGTCTGATTTGGTGCTGAAGCCGTTGCTCATGGTTCCAGGGTAGCTTTGCTCCAGAAAGGAGAAGGCCTGAACGTTCATGGACTTCACTGAAAGATTACTTTACCCAGAGTCACTGAGATGAGTAGTGATTAAATATCACCTGGAGGTGCCAACCTTTTTGGAGCAATAGAAATTCTGACCTCTGGCAGCAGTGAGCAAACACCAGCCCCAGGCAGAGACACATCAGGAACACAGAGCCCTGCCATACGCCTGGAGGCAGAGCAGAGGAGCAATAGCCCTGGGCACAGGAGATCCAGGAAAAAAAGTCTCCCATTGGGGCCCAGCTGAGTCCCTGCAGCCCACGTTGGTTTGGATCATTCCTTAAGGCCAACAGCCCTCTACACTCTACCACACTCTTAAAAATCTAGCCAACTAGCTAGCCTTTTGTATCTTTGCTTCTTTTTCTATGTCTGCTTCTGTCTCCTTGAACCCCAGTGGGCCTCAGCAGATGGCCGCTCACACTGAGCCTGGTTCTGCTGGAGGTTTCTTCCTGTTCAAAGGGAGTTTTTCCTCTCCACTGTCGCTACAAGCATGCTTAGTGTGAGGGATTGCTGAAGAGTCAATGAGTCGATGCAATCAGCTGGTTTTCCTTAGATAGAAAACTTTGAATCAATCTGACTGGATGATCTGGTGAACTGGAAAGTGACCTGAGATGACATGATGTGAATTGGAGCTATAGAAATAAACTGAATAGAATTGCACTAGTTGCTTTACTAGAAAATGACCCAGAAACTTGTTTCCTAAGCATTCTAGCTTAAACCCAACAGATAAAGCGTCATTAAAGGACAGATTTTTTTCCTAAATTCACTTTCCAATTGTTTTGTTACAGTCATATGTGTTCTGAAGCCTGTGTTTTAGGATCATAAATGAAAAGAACCCGCTGTCCTCACACTGCCTTTCTCCTCCTCTTTCCGAACTGACTGGTTATGGTTACAGGTTGTGGGGGCGTGGCCTTCAGGAGGTCAGCGTGTGGAAAGCCAGACCAGTTCATCCAGAATGAGGATGGATGGGGAAATTTCCTGCACAGACAGCAAAAAGCTGCTCTGAGGGCCTCAGTGTTCATATTTTTATTTTCAACTATAGAATAAAAGTGTAAAGCGGCCAGGATGAGAATCAGAGCCTCCAAATCAGAGACCATGGTCTTGAGCCGGAAAAGGGTAGAGTGCCTTCTCTGGGTTGGGGAGGATGTACTGCCCCTAGTGGAGGAGTTTAAGTATCTTGAGGTCTTGTTCACGAATGAGGGGAAGATGGAGCGGGAGATCGATAGTCTGCTGTGAAGCGGGCGCTGTACCGGTCTGTTGTGGTGAAGAGAGAGCTGAGCCAAAAAGCAAAGCTCTGGATTTAACGGTCGATCTACGTTCCTACCCTCATCTATGGTCATGAGCTTTGGGTCATGACCGAAAGAATGAGATGCCGGATCCAAGCGGCTGAAATGAGTTTTCTCTGTAGTGTGTCTGGGCTCTCCCTTAGAGATAGGGGGAGGAGCTCAGTCATCTGGGGAGCACTCAGAGTAGAGCTGCTGCTCCTCCACATCGAGAGGAGCCAGCTGAGGTGGCTCAGCCATCTGGTTAGGATGCCTCCTGGACGTCTCCCTGGTGAGGTGTTCCAGGCACGTCCCACCGGGAGGAGGACCAGGGGGAGACCCAGGACACGCTGGAAGGACTATGTTTCTCTGTTGGCCTGGGAGCGCCTTGGGATTCCCCC